ACAGACTGATTGGGTGGACTTACTCCCTTTTGCAGAAGTTGCCTACAATAATGCAATCCACTCCAGCACAGGTTACACTCCTTTTCAAATAACCACCGGTCAAAGTTTCAACCCCATGCCAGAATTAACCCCAAACGAACCAACGATCCCATCACTGAAGGAATGGATGGAAAAACTACAAAACACCTGGCCAATAGTTAGAAAAGCACTAGATGAAGCTAGGCAGGCATACAAAGCACAAGCCGATAAAAAAAGGATTGAGCCTACACCATTCATTATAGGTGAAATGGTGTATCTATCTACAAAATACCTAAAGTCACTACAAGCCTGTAAAAAGCTTGGACCAAAATATATAGGGCCTTTTCCAATTAAAAGAATCATAAACCCAGTAACAGTAGAATTAGAATTACCCAAAAATCTCAGGCAAATACACCCAATTTTTCATTGCAGCTTGCTGAAAAGAGAGCATCAGTCATCTTTACGGCCAAAAATCCTCCCCACCTCCTCCAGTCATGGTGGAGGGCGAACAACACTTCGAAATAAAGGAAATCCTAGACTCTAGGAGATATCATGGAGCGACTCATTACCTAGTTGCCTGGAAACATCTCCCTGCCTCACAAAATGAATGGGTCCACAAACGTCATGTCAGACCCCGAAGCTATTAAAGAAGTTTCACACAGAGTATCCTAACAAGCCTGACTAACTTTTATACCTGTTTTGTTTTCTTTCAGGTGGATCTGTCTTATTTTTAAGGAGGCAGGATGTCAGAATCCAATTATATTTCATCTCTGGTTATTAACTATGGAAAATCCCATTCCTGCCTTCCCTGGATTCTGTCATACGATGAAGGGAAGGGGGTGAACAAAGGAGCTTTATGGCCCTCACTTCCTTCAGTACACTTCAAAGAGACTGGATATGGATACCACCAAAAGGACTAACCATAACAATGGAGCTATTAGTTTTCATTTACTCCTCTCTGACCCCTTTATGGATTACTGCCTTGTCGTGGCGAAGGGGCTTGTGTAACTCAATGAAGCTATAAGCTATGCCGTGCAGGGCCACCCAAGATGGACTGGTCATAGCAGAGAGTTCTGACAAAATGTGATCCACTAGTGAAGGAAATTGCAAATCACTCCAGTATCTTTGCCATGAAAACCCCATGGACAGTACTAAAAGGCAAAAAGATATGATGCTGGAAGATGAGCCCCTCAGGTCGGAAGGTGTCCAATATGCTACTGGGTAAGAGCAGAGGGCTAGTACTAGTAGCGCCAGAAAGAATGAAGCAACTGGGCCAAAGCCGAAAGGACGCTCAGCTGTGGATATATCTGGTGGTGAAAGGAAAGTCCGATGCTGTAAAGATTTTTTCTCCATAGGAACCTGGAATGTAAGATCCATGAATCAAGGCAAGGTAGACGTAGTCAAAAAAGAGATGACAAGACTGAACATCGGCATCTTAGGAATCAGTGAACTAAAATGGACAGGAATGGGTGAATTTAACTCAGATGACCATCAGGTATACTACTGTGGGCAAGAATCCCTTAGAAGAAATGGAGTAGCCTTCATAGTCAATAAAAGAATAGGAAAGCCCTACAGCACCTTATAGAATTAACACCAAAAAATGATGTCCTTATCATCTTGGAGGATTGGAATGCTAAGGTAGGAAGCCAAAAGATAACCGGAATAACAGGCAAGTTTGGCCTTGGAGTACAAAATGAAGCAGGGCACAGGCTGATAGAATTTTGACAAGAGAATACGATGGTCATAACAAACACTCTTTTCCAACAACCCAAGAGACGGCTCTACGCATGGACATCACCAGATGGTTAACATAGAAATCAGATTGACTATGTACTCTGCAGCCAAAGATGGAGAAGCTCTATACAGTCAGTAAAAACAAGACCAGGAGCTGACCGTGGCTCAGATCATGAGCTTCTCGTTGCAAAATTTAGGCTTAAATTGAAAAAAGTAGGGAAAAGCACTAGGCCACTCAGATATGAACTAAATCATATTCCTGATGAATATACAGTAGAGGTGACAAATAGTTTTAAGGAATTAGATCTGATAGACAGAGTGCCTGAAGAACTATGGATGGAAGTTCGCAACATTGTACAAGAGGTAACAACTAAAACCATCCCAAAGAAAAAGAAATGCAAGAAAGCAAAATGGCTGTCTGAGGAAGCTTTGCAAATAGCTGAGGAAAGAAGGGAAGCGAAAGACAAAGGAGAGACACCCAATTGAATGCAGAATTCCAGAGAATAGCTAGAAGAGATAAGAATGCCTTCTTAAATGAACAGTGCAAAGAAATAGAAGAAAACAACAGAATAGGGAGGACCAGAGTTCTCTTCAAGAAAACTGGAGATATGAAGGGAATGTTTCATGCAAAGGTGGACATGATAAAGGACCAAAATGGCAGGGATGTAACAGAGGCAGAAGAGATTAAGAAGAGATGGCAAAACTACACAGAAGAACTATACAAGAAGGAGCTTAATGTCCCAGATAACCACAATGAGATGGTCACTGACCTCGAACCAGACATTCTAGAATGTGAAGTGAAATGGGCCTTAGAAAATCTGAGCAACAACAAAGCTAGCGGAGGTGACAGTATTCCAGCTGAGCTATTCAAAATCTTAAAAGACGATGCAGTAAAAGTGCTACACTCAATTTGCCAGCAAATTTGGAAAACTCAACAGTGGCCACAGGATTGGAAAAGGTCAGTTTACATTCCAATTCCAAAGAAAGGCAATGCCAAAAAATGTTCAAACTATCACACTATTGCACTCATTTCACATGCTAGTAAAGTTATGCTTAAAATCCTACAAGCTAGACTCCAGCAGTGTGTAGATCGAGAACTATCAGAAGTACAGGCAGGATTTCGAAGAGGCAGAGGATCAAATTGCCAACATACGCTGGATCATAGAGAAAGCTAGGGAATTCCAGAAAAACATCTACTTCTGCTTCATTGACTATGCTAAAGCCTTTGATTGGGTGGATCACAACAAATTGTGGCAAGTTCTTAAAGAGATGGGAATACCAGACCATCTCATTTGTCTCTCGAGAAACCTATATGCGGGTCAAGAAGCAACAGTGAGAACTGGACACGGAACTACTGATTGGTTCAAAATTGGAAAAGGAGTCCGGCAAGGCTGTATACTGTCGCCCTGCCTATTTAACTTATATGCAGAGCACATCATGAGAAAGGCAGAGCTAGATGAAACAAAAGTTGGAATTAAGATGGCCGGGAGAAATATCAACAACCTAAGATATGCAGATGATACCACTCTAATGGCAGAAAGTGAAGAGGAACTAAAGAGCCTCTTGATGCGGGTGAAGAAGGAGAGTGCAAAAGTTGGCTTGAAACTCAACATTAAGAAAACCAAAATCATGGCATCCGGCCCTCTCAATTCCTGGCAAATAGATGGGGAAGAAATGGAGGTAGTGACAGATTTTATTTTTCTGGGCTCAAAGATCACCTCAGATGGGGACTGCAGCCAAGAAATTAAAAGACGCTTGCTCCTGGGGAGGAAAGCTATGGCAAATCTAGACAGCATACTAAAAAGCAGAAACATCACCCTGCCAACAAAAGTGCGTATAGTCCAGGCCATGGTTTTCCCAGTTGCAATGTATGGCTGTGAAAGTTGGACCATAAGAAAGGCTGAGGGCTAAAGAATTGAGGCCTTTGAACTATGGTGCTGGAGAAGACTACTGCAAGTCCCTTGGAGTGCAAGGCGTTCAAACTGGTCAGTCCTAGAAGAGATCAACCCTGACTGCTCTTTAGAAGGCCAGATCCTGAAGTTGAAACTCAAATACTTTGGCCACCTAATGAAAAGGAAGGACTCACTGGAGAAGGGCCTAATGCTGGGAAAGATTGAGGGCAATAGAAGAATGGGACGATAGAGAATGAGATGGCTGGATGGAGTCACTGAAGCAGTAGGTGTGAACTTAAACGGACTCCAGAAGATGGTAGAGGACAGGAAGACCTGGAGGAATGTTGTCCATGGGGTCACGATGGGTCGAACACGACTTCGCAATTAACAACAACAACAACTCCTCTCTGAAGTCTACCTCCTGTCGGCAGTGGAGAAAGGGGATGGGAATGTAATGCCTGGGACTGTCGCTGGAAGAAGGGGGTGATGGGGGGCTACTGGGGAACCCCTTAAAACCTTGAATGGGAGAACTTGGACCCCAAGTCCTCTCTAGAATGCCTGCAACCAGTTTCTCTTAATAAAGATGCCTGTTGGAAGAAAGATTCCAAGAGTTCTGTCTTCTTAAGATGCAAAGTGGGGTGGGTCCTTACATACAGATTGATTTAGAAAAGTTCATTTAGTGACCATACAAAGTTACATCACCACTGAAAAAAGTGACTTCTGGCTGTTTTTCACACTTACAACTGTTGCTGCAGCTTCCTCATGGTCACATGATCAAAATTCAAACACTTGGCAACTGACTCATATTTATGACGGTTGAAGTTGACCTTCAAAGTCAATGGTGAAACCAGATTCACTTAACAACTGTGTCACTGATTTAACTGCAGTGATTCACTTTACAACTGGCAAGAAAGGTTGTAAGATGAGACAAAACTTCACTTAATAAATGTCTCACTTAGCAACAGAAATTTGGGGCTCAATTGTGGTCATCAGTCAAGGATTACTTGTATCTCCCCTGCCACCTTATTTTGCAGTAAATGGCTACAAACTTAATTTTCTTGGAACACTTTATGTTAGCAAAAAAATCCTTGGTGACAGCCAGTTAACAATTGTAGGACTAAGTCCTCCTGGTAGAAGTTTTGTGCTAGTACAATATTACAGGTTTTTTATGGATTCAGGATAAAAACCCCAACAACCGAAAAAGGCCAGGTGCTCGCAGAAGGGAAGGGAACAGAACCTCGCAAACCCGTCGAGGCAAACAGCTTAAAGGCAGAAAAGTGACGGGCGCAGAAACGAGCAAGGGCAGACGCCACATCACCACCGCACATGCGCAACAGGCTCGCACATGCTCCCTCATAGCCTCTCAAGGAGTGTGCACATGCTCAGTAGCAAAATGGGCCCTTTTTTGATGCTGGGCTCGTTTTCATAATTCAGCGGCGGATCTCCGGTGTTGCTTCGTTTCTCTTCCCAAACGTGCTGGTGAATTTCGCTTTGGTCATGTCACCTTTGGCCAATCACTTCTGGCTATAATCCCGGAGAGGCAGGGGAGGCTGGGCCATCCCGGCGTCTCTTTTCCTGCTAGCGGTAAGTCCTTGTCCCGTGGCTCGAAGGCCGTAGAACTCAGCCAGGAGTTTATGCCTGCGCGTCCGTTTAGGAAGAGAAGGGAAGGCTTCGGGCACACATGCAGACGGGACTTGGAAAGTGCCCCAGATGGTGAGCCCTCCCCGTGAGATCCCGGGCTGGGGCAGCATCCCGCTTTGCAGAAGTGGGCGACCGGCATCTCTCTGCTCCATCAGTACCCCAGTTCAGTATCTCGGGCAGCTTCTGGTGGGTTGCCGCTCTTCCTTGCTAACAAGCTGCGGAGCCGGCTCTTAAGTGAGGTTGGGAAGGAATTTGGGGACAGCGGAATCCCCGGGAGCTGCTGCTGTTGCCGAGACGCGAAGGGGGGAGAGGGAGGAAATTGCGGAGTGGGAGATATTTTCATGGGGGGGGGGGGGAGACAGGCGGCTATCAAAATATAGGAAAAGCTGTAGGGCGCAAGAGGGAGGGTCTGAGTCTGAAAAATCAGGCTCCACTGCTCGGTTCCGACCGAGGATTTGGAGGGAGACAAATGGTGTTCAGAGGCCTTGTTGGTTCGACAAGGTGCTGGAAGAGCCAAGCGATAAACCTTAGGTATTGTTGCTTGGTGGAAGGAAAAAAAAAAGTGACATCTGTTGCTAAAGTGACACAGGGTATCACTGAAGTGTTTGTATGTTTTCTTAGAAATGTGGCCTCCAATGAAAGGTGCTGTTTCTGCACGTTGAAATGTGTTCTGCAGATCTTCTTTGTGACGATCCTATAAAATGTGTGTGTGTGTGTGTGTGTGTGTGTGTTTATCTCAATAATATTTAATAACTTCAGAAAAGGCCACAAAGATCTCACACTAGTGAATACAGGAGAAGACGTTAGGGAGACCTTGTCATTGGACACGTGAGAGGGCACCATCACTATTTCTACCCTACCAGTGCTGCACTGGAGCATGTCCTTGGTCAAAGCCTAGATGTGCTTATGGGGAGTACAGAGAATCCATGCCTCATAATCTGACTGCAGCCCAGCACCGTTGGCAGAAAAAGATGCTTCTTCTGTTGGAAGGAAGACAACAATTCTGTTGCTATAGATATAAATTCTGTTGAAGAGATATAAATATCCAACCTCTGCATTCAGAGTAAGAAGGCGAAAGAAGGATGGAGAACGAAATATACGCAGCTCATATTATAATGCTCAGTCACTTGCTCTAGAGCTAAAGCTGGTTGAAGATCATAAATGCAGAGGGGTTTTTTTCAGTCAGTGCAGCTGGGAACCAGCAAGCAGTGTTTGTATTAAGTGTAAACAATTATGCTGCTCTTTGTTTAGCTATGTTGATACAGAATATTCAGTAAGTGTCGTGCAAAGAGCATGTAATAATAAAACAGCTTCAATGAATACCTGTCATTATTTCTATTTGAAATTAGAATGTTACAGATTATTGACAATTCATGTAAGTATATTCATTGTAGTAAAAAGCTGAACATTCCAGTGGGAATGAATATACTGTAATTAATAAAATGTTTCGTTAATATTAATTGAACTACTAGGAGAATAAAATTCTAAAAGAGGCCCAAAACCAATTTGTTTTATCTTATAGGTAGCATAATATGAAATACATATCAAAAACTCAATGACAGTATTTGTATTTAGATATTTACGCAGGTGGATTTTCATGCCTATAGCTTCTTTTGGAAGATTTTTTTGTAACAAGGTTTTATTAATAAAGGATTACCATATGTTGCAAAGTTTATAGTTGACAGTTAAAATATGGTCACCCCAATCTAAAACAACTTAAATGAGCTTTAAAATATGTCTATTTTTAATTTATGTATTAGGTGCCTTTGAGTCAGTTTTCAACTCCTGACAATTGCCTGGCCTGATTGTGGTAAGGTATTTTCATGGTAAGGCATTTTGGAAGTGGTTTGCAATTGCCTGCTTGCAAGACTGAGGGGGAGTTACTGATCCAAAGTCACCTAAATGACTTTGTGCTCAGGCAGGACTAGAACTCTCAGTCTGCCAGTTCAGATGCTTTAACAATACCAAACCAGCTCTCGTGCGTGCTTGTGTGTGTGTGTGTGTGTGTGTGTGTGTGTATTCCTTGTGTAGGAGCCAAATTAATAAGCTCTAGTAGCTGAACATTAGAGAATATTATTTCTATCTATGATGTTTAAAAGTGTTTGCTTCCTGTGCGAAGTATATCCTAGTTTTTCACCGAACCTCATCAAATTGCATTTTTGTTCTTTCTTATCTATCATAGGTCAACTTTCATCCTGGGCTTCAAGTCCCCACGATGAAGTTTTTCTTGGCAATTGTTGTGGTTGCTTTTTTCTTATATATTGGGGAAGTCTGTTCCAAAGAGAAATCTTCAAAGAAAGGAAAAGGGAAAAAGAAGCAATATCTCTGTCCTTCGTATGTTCATTACATTTTTATACAATGTCTGAAATACTGTATAGTTGCACATTAAGAAATTCCTATAATTAAATGTAGGCTTTTCATAAAGCAAGATAATTCATATAAGCAGTACTGTAACTTTTTAGGGATTTAGACAAGAGACTTTCTCAATGTAGAATTTGAACCTGGAACTTTGTAAATGAAAACCATGTGTACTGTCATGAAGCTATGATTAAATAAGACTTCATATGGTTGATACAGACACAAAATAATGATCAGAATTTAAGATGTGTGAGTGTTGAAAAGCATATTAATCATTATACTATAATATGCCTCTTAAGTCCTTGTGCAGGTAGCTTGATTTTGCATGTGCAGAGAAATTATTCACTTATGTTGATCAGGAATAGATAAAGCCAGAGTGTGACTTTTTAGGCAAATTGACATGAGAGAAATTAATTCTTACTCATATTTTTATATACTTGAAGGTACGGAAGGTGTAACCAACCTTAGCATGCCATGGTCACGGATAAATTGTTAGTTCTGTTGACATTAGCAGCCAGCTTCTGTGCAATTATCTCGCCAGTAATTTTGAGCTTGTATAATACAAAAGTATTTCCTGTTTTTTTTTCTTAATGCATAAAGATATAGTACAGGTAGTCCTTGACTTACAACAGTTCATTTAGTGACTGTTCAAAGTTACAAAGGAGAGCAAGAGTAAAGAAACATAAAAAACAACATACTACTTAAAATATATATCCATCCTAAGCTAATGTATATTTATTTCCTACATTTCTTATTCTTTTTAACCATAATTAAAATATATATTTAATCTTTAAACATTTCATTTAATACATCTAGTCATCTAGTCCTTTAACTCTTATTCAAAATATTTTTTTCCCATTATAATTTTATTAAATTCAATCACATTTAAGTATCTAAAACATTTCCTTTATCTAAGTCATTTCAACTTTTTTATATTACTCATATCATGAAAGAGAACAAAAAAGGGAAAAAAGCATACTATATTATTTAGGGAATTCATTCCTCTTAGAATGACATATATATTTCAAAACTTTTCTATTTCTTTAACCATATTCAAACAAATGTTTCTGTTTTAAGTATTCTCTCTGGTAAGTCCCATCATCTATTTTCTTGGTTTCCACTTTAGTCCTTTTCCTTTGCCCAGTATCTTTCTTAATCAATGTATTTTGCTGAATCAAAAAGTTTTTCGTATGTTTGTAAATGTTGCTGTAGATATAAAAAAGTAAATCAGGTGAAGTGTCTTTGTACGGGGCTTCTGCCTTTCCATGTTTGTTGAAAATCTTTTTTTTTCTTTTTCTCTGCTTCTCTTTTCATTTCCTTTCTCTCTGATGTTCCTAACATCGCTACAGTCCATTTTATCCAATCTGTTTTCTTGTCCTCAAGATTTATTTTGTAGTCTTAAGGGATAAGTTGTTTTTTTCCAATTCTTATGAATTTTTTCCCACCAGGATTAAATCATGTTTCCTTGTTTTGTTAAGTTCCATCTTTAAGTTTCTATTCTCAATTCTGTATCCATTTATCTGTTTTATCTGCTCTTTCTCTGTTGTTGTTTTCTGGGAATTTTTTTGTTGTAAGGTAACTTGGAAATAGATTGATCTATATTTTCAAAATTATTTTGGATTTCTTTGTGGTTTAAAGTCATTGTTGCTTGAATTAGTTGCAGTATACTATATATCTCCTCCTGTGAAGTATTTTTGTTTTCTTAATATGTTCTTTCTACATGTCTCTGATCTATGATGGCCAAGAATTTGAGTTTTTCTCTTCCTTTCTTTTCTTTGCAAATAGCTTTAGAGCAGTGGTTCTCAACCTGTGGGTCGGGACCCCATTTGGGGTCAAACGACCATTTCACGGGGGTCGCCAAACCATGCTGTCCGCCATTTTTTCCCTTTTCCCTAGCTGTCCTACTCTCTCTTATTGGTGGCCACACCAACTTGGGGGTCACCACAACATGGGGAACTGTATTATGGGGTCACGGCATTAGAAAGGTTGAGAACCACTGCTTTAGAGTCCCAATTAAATAGATATTTGTAATCCAAACAGTTCAAAAAAGATTTTTTTTCTGAAATTTATAATTCTCTTTGTCTACAGTCCAGATTATTGTCTTTTTTTGTCACAGCTGTTCTTTGTTGTTAAAACTTTGAAGGTCACAAACACAGATTAGCTTTTCCCAGGTTTTGCCAAGTCTTATATTAAAGTCATAGCTGTCATAGTCTTCATCCACCTCTAGGTGTCAGCAACTATTTGTTTTTCAATTTCCAAAATGAACAATTATCTTTAAAATGAGAGTCTTAACCATTCAAACAATTTTAGATTTATCCAGATTGAAGTTTTAAATTTCAGATTTTATATTTATTTCATTTCCATATATTTTGATCCTCCATAAAAAGATTAATTCATCACTTCTGTTAGTATAACGGTGGGGCGGAAATTCCCCTCCTTCCCTTTCAGAGGTATTTTGCTTCTTGGGGATCTTTTCCAGGAAATTAAATGTAAAATAGAAAAGAGAAGATCGAATTCTTCACCCAGTTTCAAGCACGCTGTTCACAGTTGTGTTGGTTAGTGTTTTTGGACTTCAGTTGCTAGTAGCTTGGGCTGGTTGATGCAATACGGCCAGCCTTTCTCCTATCGGGTTAGAAGGCTTTCCCCAAGTTGAACGGAACAGCCACTGCCGTTCCAGAATCGCTGGAGCATCCTTCTTTCTTCATCACCTCTCTGGGGCGACTTAGACCCATTTAGGGTCCCCAGGCAGAGTGAAATTAGCCGCAGGGGTGCAATGAATCCGCAAGCCCGCAATTGGTCGCTATCTCACAAAACTGGAAGTCCTGCAAAGACTTTTTAGTAATTGACCTCAGTGACCTCTAAGTGAACAGGACCTGCTAATTCTAAAAATTTAATATAGGGTCCATGTGATATTAGTCAAAGATGGTATGAATTTTGCTTTGAGGTTTGGACAATACCATTTTATTTTGTGCAGTTATGGTTCTTTTGTTTTTTCAAGGGTAAAAGTATTGGAAAAGTTTAAAAAACAGAACAAAAGATATATTGAGTTTAAATTTTGCCTTATTCAAAGAGTTTAAAGGAATTGCTTATTGAACAGTGCAAATTCAGATTATAAACTCAGTAATATATATCCAAAGTGATTATATCCTCCTAATATATATACTGTTATGTTTTATATCAGTGGTTCTCAACCTTTCTAATGCCGTGACCCCATAATACAGTTCCCCATGTTGTGGTGACCCCCAACCAGTTATACATCACTGGGTGTCGGGCATGGCCAAAGAAAAGGGGGGAAAAATGGCGGACAGCCTTGTTTGGCAACCCCTGTGAAATGGTCGTTCGACCCCAAATGGGGTCCCGACCCACAGGTTGAGAACCACTGTTTTATATGCTAAATTTACAATAATATCTAGCATAAACCTATTTTTGCAAAATACTGTATGTACATGTCCCAAACTGTTTTATGAATATAAAATATACATGGCTATCAATTTCTTAATCCTTATATAGTTTAAATGATCTTTACTTAACTTTAATTTGCTTCAGTTATCAGGATTTCCAGACACTGCCGCAAAACAATAGTATTACATTAAAATACTGTTTGTAGGAAAATAGAGTACAAATGTATTACTATATGAATGTTTTAAAAATCCTCTATTAACAATAATAATAAAAAATAATCCAATTATTTCAAAATCTATTAATCTGCATACTCAGTCCAATAGTAGTCCTTATGCATTTTTACTTGCATTGTATTTCAAATATATAACCATATATAAATTTTAATTTCCTTATATTTATAAGCCTTAAGAACAAACTATTCTATTCAAAGAAAATATGACTATTAATTATAAATTATTAAGTATTTAAAACTTCTACTTCATATACGAGGTGTCACATGTTCCGACTAATGAAGCACTTCAAAGAACTTTCAGGCATGTTTCCTAAAATCTTTATTGCAGAGCTACAGTTTTGCCGGTCGCCATGATGGACTGGTTGATGCCAGAATCTGAACTTCCTTTCGCTGGCATCAAGCTTCCTTGCTAAACCCCTCCCTTCTCATGCAGTCACAGGTCACATTATCCAATTAGTGAGAAGGTCAAAAGTTTGCTTCCTCTTTCTTTCCCGGGCTTTTTCCCCCGCCCAGTCTAAGCTAAGTATTAACCCAATAAATGCCAGACAGTTTTGCATTTTGTCAAAGCAAGAATATACAGTATTTGCAGCATTGACATCCGGCCCCCCTTACAAGAAGGACAGATCCTGTAAAGTAAACAAAAGCATATGTTAAGTGTTATCTTTCGGTTTGCTGGGGTGTTTCACATAAAACCTTTCGATCAATCTGTTGGCGTTCACTTCACTAGATTTCACCCAGGTGGCTTCAGACAATGGGTATCCCTTCCATTGTACTAAGTACTGTAATATCCCTCTAAAGATTCTGGAGTCAAGCATACGTTTCACTTCATAGTGGGTCTGCCCTGCCACTACGAGGGGTCCAGGTGCCTTCTTTGGAGGAGGTCTCAAAGTGGAGCCCCGATAAGGCTTCAACAAACTACAATGGAAGACTGGGTGAATTTTCCCTAACAGTTTAGGGAGTTTTAGTTGTACTGTGACTGGGTTGATGACCTTTACTATGGGGAAAGGCCCCAAGAATTTTGGTCCCAATTTCTTGCTGGGCAATTTGAGGCGTAGATATTTAGTTGACAGATAGACCTTTTCCCCAACTTGGAATGTTCTTTGGGGAGCCCTCTTTTTATCAGCCTGCTTTTTATAGGTTTCAAAAGTCTTTTTTAACGCAGTTTTTGTGTTTTTCCAAACTTCTTCCCACCCTCTCACCCATTGATCAAGTGTCTGTGAAGCGGAGGGCAACTGAGAATATTCAGGAATTGGGTTGAATTCTTTCCCTGTGGCTACTTTGAAAGGCGTGTAGCCGGTGCTGCTGTGCACGGAATTATTGTACGCCACCTCCGCAAAAGGGA